TATTCTGATGGTGAAAAATATTGGGTTTCTATAGGACAAAAATATAGATGTACGGTTAATTTTAAAAGAACCAACTGATTCGTGGATTTCTCTGAGCCATGGGGAACTTTACAAGGAAAGTGAAAAAGTAGCATTTGAGTGCTGAGAGCATGTCCTCCCCTGAGGAGTTTCTGAAAGAAGCCCTTGTTTAATCCTCATGGCATTCCTTGGGGGCTGTGCTGCTGCACTAATACTGCTCTGGCCTTGTGGAATAACTTTCTCTAAGCTTACATTGTATTTCCTTTGAACTTTCTCTTTATTCTAGCTCCAAAACTTTGTTTTCAATTTTTTGTGAGCTAGTCCCTGAGTCTGTTTCTCAGCTCATAGAAAGAAACAGGATCAGGGAGCAGAACACAGACACACACTTGCCTTTGGGAGATCACCTTATAGTAGTGCAATTTGCTTTGTGTTTGACAGATACATACTATGTGTTGGGCCAGCACTGTGCAGAAGGAATGAGCACAGGAAATCTGTCTCCTGCCTAATGGTGCTTAGGTGTTTGGCAATCTCAACAAATTCGGGGTGATACAAAGATGGCATAGATAACAGCAGTGTTTTATGTAGTGTATGAAACTGCTCTTTAAAAATATGGTCTAGGTTTTGTGAACTTAACCCTTGCAGTAGGTGGTGTTCTTTTGTCCCATGGTACAAATCAGTAAACCGAGTTATAAATGCAATGTAATCTGCTTGGATGGTTAACGAAACCAGTGCTCGTCTCAAAACTGGTTCTTCGTTCCTAATATGCACAAGTGATATTATATTTCTAAGTATAAATAATGTCCATTAAGTGACAACCTTAAAATTGAAGAAATTCAAAGAAAAGTATGCCTGCCATTGTATTAATGAGGGAAAATTATTTTTCTCAACTATCCAAGGAGTGTCACCTATGGATCCTATTTCTTCACCTTATCCTATTAATTTTGACTAGTCCCTTCTCTCCACTATTATTATTATTTTTTTGGTCTTTTTGAGACAGGGTCTCCCTGTAGCCCCAGCTGTCCTGGAACTCACTATGTAGAGCAGGCTGACCTTGAACTCACAGAGATTCGCCTGCCTCTGCCTCCTGGGTGCTGGGACTAAAGGCGTGCACCACCACACCAGGCTCCATTCTCCTTCATCTCAAACTTCCCTTTGTCCCCCCTCCCCCCTTTGGTGACAGTCAAGTTATTTTTAAAGAGTCCCTCTTAAATCACATTTCTCTAGAAAGGGTATCAAAAACTGCCATCAACATGAGGCAGGTGGCCCCCAAATAAGGGGTTTTGAGACAGGTCCATAGTGTATGAATTTGGCCAGGAGCCAGAAAGCTGTTTCCGAAGGGTTCCTGTTACCACTTAGGCATTTATAGGGCAAAATTCCTGTCCTCCAGATTTCTGTCACTCTAGAGGGTCTGCTTAAAAACCAGGAAAAACTCGAAGCCAATAGGAGAAGAAAGGAGGTTTCACTACAAAAAGGAATTATACCCAAGGCTTAGAGGGCAAGTTATTAGCTGAAGACCTGGTTTGCATCCATGGCCTCCACCTACAGAGACTGGATACTACATGTCAATCACTGGTAGCACACAGCAGTCTTTCGATCATAACAACATTATCATGTTTCCAGCTCAAGTTTATGCCAAGCTCTGAAAATAGAAACACTAGTTATACTGTCTGTCAATCAACCCCATCTAATGGACACTTAAGTGCAGAATTGGAATTAGCACGGGGAAAAAAATGACTAAATGTCTTACGGGAGATACATACAGCAAACAAAACCCAAAAACTCATGGAATCACTTCTGTTCAAACTATTAAGAACAGACACAACTACGTACAATAAGTACATAGGAACGAGATTCAGATATGGAATGCAGATGTTGAGGACTGTGATCAAAAGACAACTTTATTCTTTTGGCTTTTACCACCTTTGATTTTTTCATTTTACTTAGGGTTAGGTTATCTTCTCTTGTGCTTGAGTGGAAGATCAGGCATACCTCTACTTTCCTGTTTGTCCTTTGATAACCGGCAATTTTTTTAATGTTTTATTTATTATTTTTATTTTATGTGTATGCGTGTATTGCCTGCATGTAGGTAAGTGCACCCGTGTTGTGCGATGCCCTCGGAGGACAGAAGAGGCCGTTGGATCTCCTGGAACTGGAGTTACAGACAGTTGTTAGCTGCCATGTGGGTGCTGGGATTCGAACCTGGGTCTTCTGCAAGAGCAACCAATGTTCTTAACCACTGAGCCATCTCTCCAGCCCCAGATAAGTCGCAATCTTTTAACGATCACTTGAAATTTTAAAAATCAGCCTAGATTTAACAATTACAGTGTTTCATCCTAAGGTACTACTCAGTTGAAGACTCCTCTCACCTCTCCCCCAGGTGGGGCCCATGGCTGGTGGCTGCTTGCTTCAGCTTCTCCTGAACTTTCTAACTGCCCCCATACATACACCTCACAGTGGCCAGCTGCTATTTGATCTGCTTGTGTAAAAGTGGGAGGAGACAGGACAGGTGAGCTTCCAGGGCTGCTTTTGGATGGTCAGCACTGTTTCTAAAGAGCTGGATTTTTTTCCTAAAAGAAGCAGCTAAAGGTTCTTTGGAGATTCCCACTCCCAGAGGCGTCTTACGTGAATGCATTTGACCTAGAGAACCATGAAAGTGGTGGTCTGCAACAAACTACAGATCCTAGGATTCCTATATTTGTCTGTAACTTCAGGCCACAGGGACCCTCCATGCTTCTAGGCAGCCCTTTAAAATAGAACAAAAGCAACTATATGTCGTCTGCCTTTGTGACCCTCTTTGCAGAAGAACACTGATGAATTCATTGATTCTGTGGATCTGGCAGTACAGACAGATACCCTCTCTACGTCTACAGCCCTTTTTCACTTATAGGCAGAAGTGTTAATGCTAACTGACTTTACAACAACAGAGAACACTTTACAAGCTTCCTGATCCCAAAGAAGAACTTCTTTATGCTTGGGGGAAAAAAAGACTGAGTGGGGGGACAGTGGGATCAAGAGTTCCTCCCCCAAAAGCCTCTTCACAATCCTCCCTTCCTAATCTCTTGATCTCATTTTGAACTAGAACTGCTCTTCAACACTGACTTTGTGTGTGAAAAGCTTGTTGAAGCAGTCATCTTACATTGCAATGAACAATGTTCATAGTTGTCTTCTAATCCCTTTAGAAAGAACTGTGTTTCTTTATCTCTGTCTCCTGAAAATCTGAGCCTAGAAAAAAGTGTTTGGTAAATGTTTGATAAATGGGTGAATCTAAAACTAACTTGTGTTATTCTACGGATTCTCTAAGACACTTCGAAATAACCTGTATGGATAGTCTATTTTATCATCTGCTGGCAAAATTCTTACATTCCCAAAATACTGATTTCTTTTCCTAAGGACGTCTATACCTTAGCATTTACCAGTCAATAACTTTGAGAAATGAGACAGTAAAGGGTAAATAATCAAGTCTTCTCAGAAAAAATTTCTCCAAAGCAGCAAGAATTGCATTGAGTACTTTATCTTTTAAAAACTGTAAATTTGGAAAAAAGAGTACCAGAAAAACAAGCGTGGTAAAGTATCCACGTTTTAACGCTAGGTGATGGGTAGTTCATCTTCCTATTTTCCCTAGTTTTTCTATCTGCTTAAATATTTTCATAATAAAAATATTAAAAATTAAAATTGGCACTCGGGAGGCAGAGGCAGGTGGATCTCTGTGAGTTCGAGGCCAGCCTGGTCTACATAGTGAGTTCCAGGACAGCTGGGGCTACAGGGAGACCCTGTCTCAAAAAGACCAAAAAAAAAAAAAGTCTAAACTTCAACTTCTTTCGGAAAATCGGACAAGCTCATCATGGTGAGGTAGTAGGAGGTGGAAGACACATTATTGCAAGACAAATTCCCTTTGAGTTTGAAACTCAGAGGAGGGTGGCTCTTCAGACTCTTCCTGGCTTCACATCCCCTCAATAACACAAAGGACTACCTGCACCCCGCTTTAATCTCTAGTGTTTCGATTTTGTTCTTTGAGTGGTTAAGGGGTGTTTGTATTTTTTGAGACAGGGTCTCCCTGTAGCCACAACTGGACTAGAATTCACTTTGTGGACCAGGCTGACCTCAATCTCACACATACTCCTAAATGCTGGGATTAAAAGCGTGAGCCACCATACCTGGCCGGTTTTGTTCTTTGAAACAAGTTTTGGGACAGAGGAAGTGGGCACGCTTAATTAACCGGCTGCTAGGCAGATGACAGCACTTTTAATAGTTCGCCTGGTGGGCTGTTTCAGTCTCTTCGTGCACCACTGTGTGCCGTTGGCCTCAAAATGCTTAGCTTCATACAGCAAGTGCATATTTACAGGTGTCACTATTCCTCTGCCTGGGAAGGGTTGCGTTCCGCGTTTATCTCTTTTAATCCTCAATTTTCGAAGTACTAGAGCTCTTGGGTACAATGCAGTTTGAAAGAACATGGTGGTCCACGTCTGATCCCAGCACTCGGAAGGCTAAAGGAAGTGTTCGAGGCCAGCCTCGGCTGCCTAGTGAGCCCCCGCCCAGTCTTTCAACATGTGGATAAGGAATCCGTTTGCCAGATGCTCCCTAATTGCCTCTCCTAAAGGAACTCAGACCAGTGTGGACTCGGTGGACAAAGGCGTGTTGGATTCCTCGAGTTGGGGAAGACTGTGGGAAGGTGTGCAGGCCTGTTCTCAGAAGCAGACATGGATGGAGGGGACCGGTGCCGGGATGCTCCCATACCACCCACAGACGCGGCCGTAGAGAATCGGCCTGAAGGCCAGGGTTCGGAGCGTCTTTTCAATCACTGGACCAGGACGCGAGACCCAAGGCTGGGGTTGGAGAACGAGATGGCGTCTAAGCAGCCAGCCTCGGGGCGGCAGGAGAAAGCAAACTGCTCACCGGGCGCAGGTGCTCAAGATCCGGCTGCTTTGTGCGTCTGCGCAGGCGCTCTAGGCCCTCCGACATCGGTCAGCGCGCAGGCGCCCAAGCTACTCGCTCTTCCTCCGGAAAACCGAGAGCAGGCGCGGACCGCTTTGCTTCCGGGGCAGGCCTTGACAGCGGCTTCCCCGACCCCGCTCAGCCAGCGGCTCGGTGAGTGCGGCCCTGGGTGCGGGGAGGTCTGGCCAGGTCCGCCCAGCCCGCCAACCCGGAGGCCGAGGAACGGCGCCCTGGGTGCCCGCCGGGTGCAGGCGGCGGCTCCCGCGTCGGAGGTGGCCCGGGGGACGGCTGACCGCGCGCGGCCCGGTGCTTGGTG